TCACCCCACGCACCGGGACACGCGTGCGCACGCACACGCCCCCGAGCGCGCACATTTACACTCGCACGGGCCCCAGGGACTGACCATACACACTCACTCTCACATCATAAACACATGGCCAGGAATTGACCCCCCTCAGCACCCCAACACTTGCACCCCCAAGCTCACACACACATTCACAGTCATGCACAAAATCCAAGCCCGTTTGCGGTCACAAGCCCCAGCACGCAGACCACGGGCTAGCCTTCCCAACACCCCCCCCCACACACACACACACATACACACTCATATACACACACATTCTAAGAACTGGCCAACAAATATGCATATACACCCACACCTTCACCGGCATACACGCTCACACTGAAACTCATACGCAGCCCAGCAAATGACCCCACAAGAACCATACACACCTAGATCCACCCCGGCTCCCACAGACAACCTTTTCCCTCCTCCTGCCCTAACCTAACAGCCACTGACCCCCAAATCCGGGGCTTTTAGAAACTGCCGGAGGAGCACACCTCTGAAGGCAGAGAGCCCAGGTTCCAATCCTGACTCCACCAGGTCTGCGTCCATCTGTGAGTCTCAGTTTCCCTGTGTGCAAAGTGAGAGGGTGATAACAGCAACCTCGCAGGATTGTGGCGAGGATCATGGAGAGTGGCTGGTGCCCAGAGGCTCGAGAGCGGTTGTCGACTTTGTGAATATTTGCACTCTTCTTCCTTAGATGTCTTATGCGAATAGTGTTGGGGATCCATGATGGAGACTCTGGAATCTGGCTGACACCCAAAGCTGCTTACGTGGCACATCTCTGAGTAGAGGTGGTGTATAATGAACACTGGGCGCACTTGGGGTGAGGAAACACACACCCACCCTGAACTAGCCTTAGTTAGGGACCTTCAGCCCCTAGTACGCTCACTGCCCCTTCACCACCTCTTCCCCATCCCCTCTGGTCCCCATTCTCTCTCCCATTGCACTTCTTCTGAGGACATCCTAGGTTCAAAGTGTGATCTTCACCCTGTTTCTCCAGCCCCAACTCACCAGCCCACCACCAGGCTTCACTGCAGAGCTTTATAAAAATGTGTCTCTTTCATCTTTAAAATTTAGACCCTTCAAAGCTGCAGTGTGCCAGGGAGTTCCGATTCCAGCTATGATGCTTCAGCATAGCCCCCATGTGATGTACAGATCCTCAACGGATTCTCTTGGGAAGTGATTCCAATTCACTTTAGTAAGTCTAGCTCCCTTTCCATGTGGTGCTTTTGAGATAATAAATTCACCTTTAAATGCTAGCTACTGTTCGTTATTATCCTACAATCTCAAGTATTCGAGTTGAAAAGGTAGGAGTTAGAAAATGGCTCGGGAACTGAATGATGGTCTGTGTAACCTGGAGGCCTGCCTGGCAAACATTATCTGTTACAAAGTGGGTCAGCTTTATTCCAGGGTTCAGTTAGCAGACATACTGAGCCCTTGCCTAAAGTCAAGTTCTCTAGCTTTACCTTAATTGGTAATAAAAGTAGTATTGTGAGCTCCCTCTGCCACTCCTTTGTCTTATCCACAAATTCATTTATATATTTCTCCTTTCCTGCCCATTCTCACATCTTTCTCAAACCCTACAATGCTACCCACTAAAATTCTTCCTGTCTACCATGATCCAATTAAAAAACCATCTCTTATACAAAGCTTTCCCCAGTTCTCTCAGCCAGAAAACATTCTCCTCCCCCAAGCTGAATTCCCATAGCACTTGGGATTTTTATACTCACCTTTCTACCTTGTATTGGTTATTTGCATCTCGCTCTTCAATAATGTGCAAATGTCATATCTTATTTGTCTTTTTTTTTTAATCACAGATCTTTCTACATAGTAATTGCTTTAAAAATACTTAGCAAATGAATAAATGATTATAAAATACCACTTGCCCTTGGGAGGTTAATAATCTAACCAGGGAACAATCTAATTGAAAAGTTATGACATATGCCTATAATAAATGACAAAATAATAACAAAAGAGAATATTTAACTGCTAAATGCACTAAAGGCAGACTTTTAAAGAAGTCGTTCGTCCAGCTTCAAGAATTCTGAATACACCTGAAAAACAGGAGTTATGTGAGAAAGGCTTTTGATCAACAAAATAGTTGATACAAAATCCATGCTTTAACGTGGATAGACTTTATAAATGAAAGAATCTCATACCCTCACTTAGACGGTATTTACATTTAGTTTACAAACATTTCTATTAAGCTTCATCACCTGATTCCTAAGCCCACTATAGATTAGAAACATTAGAGCAGGAGGTGACCTCATGAGACCCCAGGGGCTGCAAACGAGGTCATTGTGAAAATTGTTTAATTCTAAAACTCATACCTTTTCCTTTTACCAGTTACTCTTCTTGGCACACGGTGACATCACAGAATAACAGTGTCCATTGTGGTGACCCTGAGGTATAAAAGTCAGATAAGTATTTTTCTATACAGTGCTCTATTTAAGGAAGATGTGAAAAAAATTACAAAAGTTTTCATGCAAAATGTTAGAAATGTTAAAAAGTGCTGATTCTTTAAAGGGCCATTTCTTTAAAATTACATATATGTAATATCTGTTTATAGATTAATAATGCCAGTCATGAGGTACTAAAATATAGGTTATTAGCGCCCAAGGAGAGAGTCACACGGACCTAGATGGTCAGGGTCAACTTGTCCTCACCTTGAGAAGAGAAAGAAGTGGAATAGGCATTGGCGGAGGACATGGCTGGAATGGTGACTGCGTTATCTCAAGTGCTTAATAAACATGAGTTGAAAATGGGTAAATAGTGTTTCTATTTGGAGTATGGACAGGGTTGTAGAGGGGACCGTGCCTGGGATACAGTCAAGGCCAGTGAGCAGAGCAGTTAGGCCCAAGATAAGGACTCATGCTCAGACAGAGGATTCAAAATCGAAAGGCTAGAATTAAAAGATAGAGAACTTTGAATCCAGCATTAGTGTCTGAACTTATCAGGCTGGCAGCATGATAAAGTATTCATTCATTCAAAAACATATACTTGGTACCTATTACAAGCCGGGCAATGTATTAACTACCAGGGATACAAAGCTAGGTAATATAATGTTGATCAGTGATTCAATAATTTTTCAACAAATATTTATTGAGCATTTACTATGTGCCAGTCACTGCCTAGGCTCTGGGGATCTATCAAAACAAACAAAGCTTCTGCCCTCATAGAGTTTACATTCTAGTGGAAGAGACGGACAGGTGAGTGACATGTGTCATTTGTCAATGGTAACAAGAGCTAAGGAGCAAACAGAACAGGACAGGACACAGTGGGGAGGGGTCGGGGGTGTGTACCCTACTTTCCTGGAGGAGTTCATGCTGCCGGATGAGACTGTCACTTAAACAAAGCTGCACGATCGAATATGAGAGTGTGGTGACTGAGGCCAGAGGTGGGACGGGAGCACTCGGAGCACAGAGGGAGAGGGCTGCGTGGCTCCCTGGGCCGTGACCCTGGGCGCAGGACTTGAAGGTTGTGTGTTTGGCAGATAAAGGCACAGAAGTGTGACAGAGTGTGTCCAGGGAGCTGTATCTGACAGCGGTGTGTGGTGCTGATGAGCTGGCGGAGAGTAGGGGCCAGGGGTGACATGGGAAGCTGCGTGGAACTGCAGGTCTGGAGGGAGAGGCGCTAGAATGATGCCGGTGTCATGGGGGAAGGACAGGAAGGCACAGAGCGTTGATGCATGGCTCCTCTGGGGCCTGCCGGCAGCTTGGCAAAGGGGAGCATCAGAGAAGCAGGGCCAGGTCGGGCGGGGGAGGGCGA